CAAATAAATGCAAAATAACATCTATGGTAAGTGCTATGATGAAGAGGCATTTGGGTTCATGAAATACAATGTGGAGACTTCTACAGAATCTTGTGGGCAGTGTTAAGAATTTTGGCCTTTATCATAAGAGAAACGGGTAATTGTTGAAGACTTTTCCCCAGGGATGTGACATGATCAGATTTTTGCTTTAAAAACATCACTCTGGTTCCAAAATGGGATGAATTAGAGCTGGACAAGAAGGCTGTCAGAAAAAATACAGATGCCTAGTTACATTCAAATTTTGGATAAACAATGAATACTTTTTTAGTATATGTCCCAAATACTGGACATACTTATACAAAAATTATTGTTGTTTTTATATAAGTATACTTTTTAAGTGTTAATATGTCCCAAATATGGCATGGGGTACACTTATACTAACAATTATTTATTATTTATTTAGAGTTCAAGTTTAACTGGACATCTTGTAGTTTCATTTGTTAGATCTAGAAACCCTAAGCAAGAGAAGATGTGGGGAGACCAGTTCTCAGCTAAAGTTGAAAGCTCTTCAGACTAGGAAACTAGAGGTGGAAATGAAGAGAAGTAGACAAAGAAGAAATACCCTTGGTCAGTCCAAGTCTGTCATTCCAAGACATCTGGAAGACAGAGTCCACAGCTTCCCTCCTGCTCTGAAACCTTAATTTCCATGTACATGCTATTTAAAGGCACATGATTATGGGTATGATTAACACATCATTGCAGTCTCAATGCAGGGCCTGTGCCAGGTCTGAACCTGCCCTAAATGACCTATGAGACTCATGCTGGGGCAATGTGAGGAGGTCATCTTTCTGACCCCATCCCCCCAGGCCCAAAGATGCCTGAAAGACAGGCTGTTTGCATTGCAGTGACCCATGTGTGTGAAGAAGAGACTTGGCAGAGGCAATATTGTAAATTCCACGCTGTTGTTTCTCCATGATAATTTACTTTCTAACAAATAAAGCAGGATAGTAAAGCAGTTAAAAACACAGGTTTTACCCATTTTGAGTTTATTCTTGTGTATGGTGTAAGTTGATGGTCTAGTTTTATTTTTATTTTTTGCATGTAGCTGTCCAATTCTCCCAACACCATTTATTAAAGAGGCTGTTTTTACTCCACTGTATGCTCTTTCCCCCTTTGTCAAATATTAATTGAGCATATTGTCTTGGGTCCATTTCTGGGTTCTCTATTCTGTTCCATTGATCTATCTGCCTGTTCTTGTGCCAGTACCCGGCTGTTTTGATTGTGACTCATGAATCCATAAAAATCCTAGAAGAAGATGTAGGCAACAAAATTTCAGACATCATACACAGCAGAATTTTCACTGATACATCACCTAAGGCAACAGAAATAAAGGAGAAAATGAACACATGGGACTACATCAAACTCAAAAGCTTCTGCACAGCAAAAGAAACAAACACCAAAATGGAAAGGCAACCCACTCTATGGGAGAGTATAATTGCCAATGATACATCAGATAAGGGGTTAATTTCCAATATATATAGAGTGCTCATACAACTCAACAAAAGGAAGACAAAGAACCCAATTTAAAAATGGGCAGAGGACCTAAATAGACACCTCTCCAAAAAAGGACATACAAATGGCTAAGAGACATATGAAGAAATGCTCAACATCACAAATCATCAGAGAGATGCAAATTAAAACAACAATGAGATATCACCTCACACCTGTCAGAATAGCTGCCATCAACAAATCATCAAACAACAAGTGTTGGCGAGGATGTGGAGAAAAGGGGACTCTAGTACACTGCTGGTGGGAATGCAGACTGGTGCAGCCACTATGGAAAACAATATGGTATTACCTCAAAAAATTAAAAATTGAACTGACATTTGACTCAATGACCCCACTTCTACAAATATACCCTAAGAAGCCTGAAACACCAATCAAAAAGAATATATGTACCCCCATGTTTATAGCAGCACTATTTACAATAGCTAAGATCTGGAAACAGCTCAAATATCCATCAGTAGACAAATGGATAAAAAAGCAGTGGTACATATACACAATGGAGTACTATGCAGCTGTAAGAAAGAAAGATCTCTTATCCTTTGAGACGACATGGAGGGACCTGGAGAGTATTATCCTAAGCGAAACAAGTCAAGCAGAGAAAGACAAGTATCATATGATCTCACTTATTTGTGGAATATAATGAACATAACAGTCTGAGGAATGGGGTAGTCCCAGAGATGTGGAAATGGGGTACAGACTGACAATCCCCAGAAGAGGGGGTGGGGGGAAGATAAACCACAGAGCTTATGTGCATGTATACATGAACAATGGACATGGACGACAAAGCTGGGGACAGGGCGGGGAGGGAGAGGGGGGATATCCGTGGGGGAAAAAGGAGAAACATCTGTAATAAAAATAAATAAATTAATTAAAACACACACACACACACACACACACATACACAAAAACACAGGCTTTGCCCAGGGTTCAAATGCTCTAGCAATTATTATATGGCTTGTACTATATATGATCTTGACCAAGATACTTAATTCCTCTTGGCTTTGCAGCATATCTTTCAGATTAGTGCTATGTATATCAAGAGGCACACAGGAGATGCCTACTAAATGGTATGTGCTCCTAGAAATAGATACCCCCCTTGTTTCAGAAATCTGGTTCATTTTTTTTTCTTTTTACACAACCTTGCTCTGGTTTTGTTGAAACCCTTTGCTGACTTCCCATTGCCTTGTGCAGCAGGGTCTCCATGTGCTGGCCTCAGTTTGCCTTTCTGCTAGGACCATCACTATGTACCCATCAGAACCCCCTGCTCCACAGAAACCAGGCCATTTAACCCTGCTTAAGCCCAACTTGAACCTGCCTACTTTTTTGTTTGCCTGGAATATCGTTGCCCATATCTGTTCAAGCCTTATTCATGAAAAGTATTTATAAGGTCATGTTAATAGAAGTGTGATCAAGTCAGCTAAAGCATGCGTAGAAAATAAAATCAATGTCCATCACTAGGGAAATGACTACACAAATTAGGATTCATGTGTACTGTGTAATATTATGTACTCATCAATGTAGTTCTACATGACCTGACCTGGAAAGATATATATATCTGTGAACTATTGCTAAGTGAAAAAGGCAAATTCTAGAAGTTGTGAAATATAATCAGAGTTTAGAATGGGATTCAGGTGTACATGTATTTCTGAAAGAGTCGGGATTAAACATACTTCAGTTGCGAATAGAGATTTCTTCGGGAGAGGACTGGATTGGAAGAGAAAGGAAACTTAACATTTAGTGAATATACGTCTATGGTTTGGGTTTGTTTGTTTACTAGAACTGTGTACATTTTATAACGGAAATTAAATCAAAATGCATAGAAAAATGTATTGGAAGAAATAAACTGTGGTTATGTTTCAGTTGTTAGATAGGGGTAGTTCATTCCCTCCTCCAACTTATCATTGTTTTATAAAAGAACAAAACGGTAACAAAAGAAGTTTACCTTCAATTAAAGTCCAACAGAAACACTCCCCCCTGTATGAAACGTTTTTCTGATTCTTCTACTGGACGTGCTGTCTCTTTCCTTTGAACCCTCAAAGCACATTATATGTCTTTTGTGGCTTTTATCTCCATCCATCTTATAAGTATTCTGTACATGTTTTACTGCCTGTCCAGATTTAAGCAACTTGAGGATATCATGATAGAAAGAAAGGCAGCTTTCAAGTCAGAAGATCTGAATGTTGGCTCTTGTTCTAATTATTGATTGCAGCATGACAAATTAGCCCAAACTTAGTAATTTAAAGCATAGTCATTTTATTCTATCTTCTAAGTTTTTGCTCAGCAACTCGAACAGAGCTGGGTTGGGTGATTCTTCTGCTCCATGTGGTGTTGACTGAGGTCACTTGCTGGTATTTGGCTTGGGGTTGAGCTGGACATGAGGGTCCTAGAAGGCTTCCCTCACATGCCTGATGCTTGGAACGCTGGGCTCAGCCTTGTCCTTTCTCTTTCTGAGTCCTCTCTGCAGACTTCCTACAGGTGGCTCAGGGCTTCGAGAGACCAAGGTAGACCAAGACAGAGCTGCCCATATTCCTGAAGGATGAAAGTGGCATTGCGTTACTTCTGTACTGGTCAAGCAGCCGCAGAGCCCACCCAGACTTAAGAGGGTAGGAGCAGAGAGGCCACCCTTTGAAAGGAGGATTTGTGTAAAAAAATTTGTGGCCATCATGAATTCATCGCAGCTTTGCTATGAGTACAGTCTGTGTGTCTCAGTGACTACATCTGTAAGTTCGAAAGACTGAAAACTATAATGTATGCATAAACATTCTGTGCATTATAAAAATACACTATGATATCAAGGATTATCTTGGCACCTATCCATGCCTTCCTCAAGGCAGGTACTCATTAGATGTTTAATACTTTGAAAGCAGACTCATTTATCAGATGGTTCCTAAGAGTAACACACAAAGAAAGTTATGCTATGTGACCACATAAGAGCATGGTATAGTTGTGAGGTACAGACTTTGGATTAGGTTGACATGAGTTAAATCCAAGTTGTCACCCAGCTGTCTTTGTGAACTTTGCTGACTCAGCTCATCTTTCTGAGCCTTAATTTTGTCATTCAAATATGAGACTAATATTGTCTATCTAGCTGGGTTGCTGTGTGCATCAGAGCTAATTTGTATAAAATGTTTTAGGATCTTGACTGTTACATAGAAGGTTTTCCATTTCTCTTAAGACAATATAACAAAGTCACATAGAAAGTTTGGACTCCTCACTCACTTCTTTACACTGGTTGCCTCTATTAGTACAACTAGTTAGAGGGAGTCCAGAGCCCATGTCCTTGTGAGAGCAACAGGGAAAGGGAAGGACCCTACTTCTCGTTTCTCCCAGTCTCTTCCTATCCCCAGAGGGGTCCCTCCCAGTGAGCCGGGCCCCATGCCGCTTTGGTTGGTAAATCACTCTTCTCTGAGTGTTGGTGTGGCCTCCTTTTAGATCTATGACTTTGCCTTTCGTAGATGTATGAAATCAAACCAGAAGGCTGCATTGCAAAGAAGTTCAACGAGATTCTGCAGAAGCTGAGCTCGCCCCTGAAGCCCAGAGTTCCAGAGCATAGTAACAACAGGATGAAAAACCTCTCCTACCCATTCTCCAGGGAGAAAATGTACCTGTGAGTATCAGAACTGCAGGGGTAGGGATGTGAGGGAGGATGGGAAAGAAAATCAAACACCACTCGGTCAGTCAGTGCCCTGTGCCTGGGAGAGAGGGGAGGAAGCATGCTTTCATGGCGAAATATTTCCTGTGTCTCCTTCCCTAAGTGAGATGATCACAAATGACTCCTGTATATTTGTCCAGTGGCACTTGGGGAAACCTGTCATTTCAGACATTTTGCAGGATGAATGGAGAATCAGGGAGCAGGAATGATAAACATTAGGATTTTAACTGCCATGATAAACCAGAGAGTACGTGGATGGAGCTTCCAGATTTTTGGATTCTCAGCTGCCTACTCACACATGTGTCAATGCTGTGGAGAACCCCTCCCCACACCCAACCCTGGACAAGGGAATAAGAGCACTTCACAGGGGTGACCATTTGGGAAACCGGTGGATGGGGTTCATGGTTGGGCAGTGGAAGATGCAGCAGCCAAGCATTTATTCTCTTTAAGGAGCTAATGAGAAAATGAGACTATCAGGAGCGATAAGAGAATCGAGCAAGAGAGGGAAAGAAAGGAGCATGGGAAGGCAGAGGGGGTATGAGGGTCTGTCTCTTTTGAGGAGATGACATTCATGGAGCTGCGTTGCTGGCCACTGGATACTATGTCTCCCATCTTTGCAATGTTCTATAAGGATTCTATGCACAGATGTATGTTGTTCCTTTTGCCTATGTTCCCTCATTGGATCCCCCACCCACCCAATGGCTCTGGTGTCAATTCTGGTCAATAATTCTAATGCGTGTAGGGGTTTTCCCATATGACCAAGAAATTCTCCAACCCCAGCTGGGTGGGTGTCTTACAATTCAACCCAATTCTGACACTACCTACCTGGAGATCACATCAACGTTCCCAGGCTGAGGGCTCAGTTCTACAAGATGGCCCACCCCCAACAGTGATGCCAATTACAAGTCTAGGCTGTTACCTGTGCTTCTGACTGATTGCCTATAAATTAGAGGGTTCCTATGACCTCTGCCTTGCATTTGATTAATTTTCTAGAGCAGCTCACAAAACTCAGGAAACCAGTTTACTCACTAGGTTACCAGTTTATTACAAAAGATATTAAAAGATAACAAATGAACAATCAGATTTGTAAAGATGCAAAGGGTGAGATCTCAAACGAAGGAATTTTGTCCTTGTGGAGTTGGAATCTGACAGGTTGCACATGGAAGAATTCTGCTTCCCCATCCTGGAAGCTTTCTGAAACTCCTCCGCTTGGTTTTTATGGAGGCTTCATTATATAAGCATGATTGATTAAATCATTGTCCATTGATGACTGATTCAACTCCAGCCCCTCTCCCCTTCCCAGAAATTAGGGGGTGGGACCGAAAGTTTCAACTCTCTATTCATGTTGGTTCCCTTGGCAACCAGCCTCCATCCTAAGGTGCTTTCCAAAAGTCACCTGAATGACATAAACCCAGTTGTGGTGGAAACCCAGTTGTTCTTATGAAGAACAAACACCCACTTCACCGTTATGGCTCTGAAGTGATTTCAAGAACTGAGGACTAGAGACCAAATTTTATAACAAAAGATGTTCCCATTGCTCTGATTGCTCAGAAAATTCCAAAGGTTTGGGGAACCATGAGCCAGGGACAGTGGATAAAGACCAAAATATGTTTTTATTATAAATTATGATCTTGCAACCCCTGTGAGGTGGCCGTCCAGATGTAACTATCCCTTTATTATAGAGAGGAAACCAAGGTCCAGCATCTGTCCAAGGTTATACAGCCTTAAGTGGCTGAACTGGAACTGAGGTGTTGACCACCTGGCCTGCTGTTCTTTTTGCACTCTGTGCTTCTTTCCTGCCCCCCTCCCTGGGCCTTCCTTCATGCCAGCCCCGGCACCCAACTGCCACTCCCACACAGCTCCGTTCACTCAGCTTCTGTGATTCTTCAAGTCCGGTTCCTAAATACCATCTGAAGAATTCTCTGATCTTTCCAGCCAAAATATGGTCTTCATCCTCGGCGTTTTCATAGCAGTGGTCTACATAGCATCACGTTCTACTCTGCATCAGTTATTTGGAAACACACCTGCCTCAGTGACTGGGCTCCTGGGACTGGGAGCATGTCTTGTGCACCTGTGTGTTCTCTAGCACAGTGTCCCAAGCACGGTTAACTCTACACGGGTGGGCTGTTGGTCTGTTTTTTTTTTTTTTTTAGTGAAAGGTCACTATTTGAAGTTTAGAACAGATTCGGGCCTTGCCTAATTAGAAGTCTGGTATTTGACTGTCTAACTGATACGACATAGTGACAACACTAAATAACTTTGAAGAACAAAGTTATAATCTCAACACTATATTCTTTGTTGTTGTGTTTATACTCCCTTTGTCTATGCACAGAAATCCTTTTAATATTCTTTAATTTTGAGAACTTATCATAGCCCTGGCTGGTTTGGCTCAGCAGTTGGAGCATCAGCCCATGGACCAAAGGGTCTTGGGTTCGATTCTGGTCAAGTGCACGTGCCTCGGTTGCGGTTTGATCCCAGGCCCTGGTTGGGGTCATGTGGAAGGCAACGAGTCGATGTGTCTCACATCAGTGTTTCTATCTCTTTCTTCCTACCTCCACGCCCACTCTATCTGAAAATCAATGGAAAAATATCCTTGGGTGAGGATTAAAAATAAATGTTTTAAAAAATTATCATAGTAGAATATTTTTCTATTCTCGTCTAAAATTTTTCTATTTGTAAAGTTTTAATAATCATAATTTTCAATGTCTGCAACATAATTTATAGTATAGATTTTGGAATTGCATCTTATCTCCATGATTTTATTAAAAGTAACTTTGTGATGGATATTTTTATTTTTGGAACCTGTTTCTTCTGTTGAGTTATTTTCGCTGTGATATATTACTCCGGTAGGTCTTCAGCATTGTGTGTGAGTGCGTGTGTCTTACACCTCTTGCTATGTTGCTTTCTAAAAGTTTGCTCTAGGCCTGGGTGACAATGGTCTCAGGACAAGGGTACTAAAATGAGTTGACTTTCTGCTTTCTTGGTGTCTCCAGGTACAACATCCAGGATAAGGACACCTTCTTCGATAATGCCACACGGAGCCGCATTGTGAGTAAACAGGTTAACCAGGTGCTCAGCCAGGTGTGGTGGGTCCAGGAAAGGGTGGGGGAAGACCAAGTACCCTGTTTGGCAGGACATCCTCTTGCTCTTCCTGCTACCTCCCATTGTCATTGCTTGGAGTTGCCTAGCAACGGGGAGAAATGTCCAGGAGCCTTCTAACCCTAGTAACAAAAGAGAACAGACTGACAGCTGTCAGAGGGGAAGAGGGTGCAGGGCTGGGTGAGAAAGGTGAAGGGATTAAGCAAAAATAACCAACTCATAGACACAGGCAACAGTATGGTGCTTACCAGAGGGAACGGGGGTGGGGGAAAATAGAAGGGATGGGGGGATAAATGGAGATGGAAGGAGACTTGACCTGGGGTGGTGAACACACAGTACATTTGTATAATTATAGAACTGTACATCTGAGACCTATATAATTTTATTAACCAATGTCACCCCAATAAATTTAATAAAAGAAGAAAAAATGAAAAATAGCAAACAACTGCCCTCACTCAGGGTTGAGAGGCGTGTTTTCTCATTAGAGTTCTTTCTTCTTGGAATCACAAAATCATAGACTCTCAGGGCTGGTGGGGACTTTCAGCTGGTCAGGTGACCTCTTGCTTTACAGTTGAGAAAACTGAGGCTCTGAGAAGCAATGAGTTAAAAACAAATTTCATACCGATTGTTAGAGTCTGGATGAGGACTCGTTGCTGGGCCACCATGCTGCTTTCTTCCCCTCCAAGGGAGACCTGCGTATTTCTGTCACAGAGAGCGTTAGAACCAGCCAGTGTCCAAGCATAAAATGACCAATCCACTCGATAGAAAGCCAAAGTTCATGACTATAGCCGTTCTTCTGCAGTCTTTTCGACTTTCAAAGTCAAGTTTTTGAATTTTGTAGGACGATTAATTCCAGTGAAAATCTGTATATGACCTGTGCCCCTGTGGCCCCAGTCTGAGCTGTAGGTGATCAGTTTATTCACTGATCAGTTTTTTTCTCTATCCACCTAGAGAACATTCAGCCTATGGACCGAGGAGAGAAAGAGGGTCCACGGAAGGCTGAACTCTCACTCATGCCACAGAGGAGACACGGTGGTGTGTTTCCATTGGTTCCTAAGGGGGAACTTAAGTTTCAACAGAAGGAGGAATAAAGGTTAGATACTTAGCAGGACTTCCAAGTCAACAGGCTGATAAGAGCAATAAAAAGGGACAGGTGATCAGAAGAAGCTACAGCACGTTTCCAAGGCATACTGACAACAGGGCGTTGACTCTTTGTTTGCAGGACGGGCAGGAAAATACTTCAGGTCCCATCGCCTAGTGCTTTAGGAAGGTTTGGGCATATGATTTCTTTCATCTTTTTATGGAAAAAAGCATAAACTTCCCATTTTTTTTGGCTAATGCAATTATGAGCCACTTAAATCTCCCTGAGGCTTGGATCTCACGTCTGTGAGGGAGTTATAGGGTGTTGTGGAGATTACCCGATAATTGCAAAGTGCTTGTAAAATAATACAATGCCATATAAATGCTGTTCTTAATTCTCATTGCTGTTGAATTACTGTACTGTATTATAAATGAATTAAACATTCCTGGGCCCCACTCTGCTAGAAGTTATGCATTTACCATTCCCTCTAGGTCTGTGGCTGGAATGTGGGAGTGTGAATGATGGTGGAGTAATACATCTCCCATTCATCTCTTCTGGAAGCTTCTTTCTTCCCTTCCTGCCCTTTTGCCAGTGCACCCCACACTGTGAGAAAAGGGAAAGAGCCTTGAGTTTTGTCTTGGGGGTCTATTCTGCCCTGGGGACCTTGCCCACATCCATAAACGTCTTCCCTGTGCCTTTTCTCTGTGGACATCTGAGCAGCGCAGCTGTTTGTCCCAGAGCAGACGTCCTTGCTGGGCATCTCTTCAGAGCCTGGCACAGGCTTGGAACCCACTGGAGGGTAGTGGTTGGCCAGCAGGTTTACGCTGGCCACCTGTCCTTGTTTGCTCTGTTGGGAGTACGCTCAGCACCCCTCCCTCCCATGTGAGAGCCAGTCCCCTGAAGTCCCTAGTCCAGGGTTTTTTTGGTCTGTTTAGGATGCTTTCGTCATCGAGCAGCCAGCCTGCCGGGTGCCCAGGATGTGCTCGGAGGCATGGAGTCTTGAGGAAGTGTCTGACATGCTCTGATTAGGGAGGAAAGCTGAGGACTCAGGAGAAAACCAGAAAGAATAGTACCAATGGCCCACACGTAGGTGGCCCTTATCCAGCTTACAAAACGCTTTCATGGTTCCTCAAACATCTCTGTGACATACCTCTGTTAGAGGAGGCAACGAACCCCCGTGGAGCTGCTCAGGACCCCTATTTTAGGAACCAGTTCTAGAACTGGATTTGTCTGTCTTCCTGTCCTGTGCTGTCCCCAGCGTGGGGCTACTCAGGGCTGGTGGAGAGGACATCCTCCTTCTGGTCTTTCCTGAGGTTCCCCCAGGGGAGACAGACACAACATCCCTTGCTCGACCCAGCGCCTCCTCCTGATCCCTCCAGGGGGCACTGTGGGTCTGGGCTCCCTGGTGTGTTCTCTTTGCCTTTTGTAACTGCAATGTATAGCCTTTCCTTTCTTATTTTTTTTCAGGGAGGGGCAAAGGCGGGGGTGGGGGGGAGTGTGTGAGGGGGTTGATTCTTTGTTTCCTCAAAGCACTCAAGTTTGAGTGGGTTTGACAAGCAGTCCACGAGCTTGGCACATGCTTGGCTTCCCCCTGGCTGGAAACAGGTCCAGCCGCCTGGTCCTCCACCCCCCCCACCCCCCACTTGTAGTGATGCACTTGGTCAAGGCCCTCACAACCCTGCTCTCATCCGTTTTAGGTGCATGAGATCCTGAAGCGCACAGCCTGTTCCCGAGCCAACAACACGATGGGTAAGGACTCCTCCCCCGACCCACAGGCATGGTGCTGATGGGTGCTGAGGGGGCCAGGGCTGTCCTTTCAACAGCTAGCTTGGTGGGCAACAAAGAACAAAACAACCAAATGTCCCACCCAGAGGGGAGGAGGCTGCTTTCACTTAGGCTGGGAAGCCCTGCCTTGTCCTCCAGGAGCAGGGGGTATCCCATTTCTTGGAGGGGCTGGGGCTGCTCTCAAGACTGCTCTAACTTCTCCCAGATCTTCATTCCAGAAGAAAGGCATCATAAAGGTCCTTTAGTCCAACACCCTCCCTTTATGTGTGAAGAAACTGACCCCAGAGAGGGCGAATGACTTGTGTACGGCCACACATTAGCCAGAATGCTGCTTCTAAGTTTGGCCTTCGTGCCACCCAACCTGGTTGAATCTGTTTGCCTTGTGGTTTGTTTTTAGACTGGAGGGCATTGATATTTGAAGCAGGAGCCTCAGCATTTGGGAACTTGTAGTATAAGGCGGGCAGTCCAGATGCAGACGGATTAGAGTCACATATAGCAGCCGGGTGAAAACGTGAGCTCACATACTCACAAGCACTGCCCTTTCCCCAGGAGCCACTCTGCAGGGTGAGCTCTCTTTCCAAAGGTGCTCCCATCACCCAGAATGGCTCTTGCAACCTTTGAGAGAACTTTCTTCCGAAGATACTCTGTGGTGACAAATGTTTGGTTTTTGAGGCGGCTTCAAGTTGAAAAAAGTCCAAGATTATTGCTATTATTATTTTTTAATCCTTACCCGAGAATATTTTTCCATTTATCTTCAGATAGATTGGTGGGGGTGAGGGGGTGGGAGGGGCAGGTAGAGAGAGAAGCATTGATTGGTTGCCTCCCACATGACCCTGACTAGGACTGGGGACTGAACTGCAACTGAAGTATGTGCCCTTGACTGGAATTGAACCCAAGACCCTTTGGTCCATGGGCTGATGCTCTAACTGCTGAGCCAAAGCAGCCAGGGCTAGAGTTCAAAGTTATTTAAAGGCAAGTCTAGTGCATAAGGTAGGCAGTGAAATTGAGGAATAATAATAGCGATGACAGTAATAATAGCTATTATTGGAGAGGTTATTGTGCGGCTCGTCAGCTGCCTCAGTACCAAGGGAATGGTGCTGAAGAAGGATCAAGCAGGTTTTGTATGGTGAGAGCATTTTAAGAATAGTTCAGAACCCCTCAAGGGAGCAATCATGTATGACTCTATTTGCTTTGATGTGTTCATCTTGCTAGAAAATTCCAAATAACACTCCAAGTTTTAAAAATCAAATTTTTAATGTAACATTGTTTGTCTGGAGCATGGTGCTTATAAGGAAAGGATGTGAGTGAGTGAGTGAGGTAATTAATTAGTCCAGTTCAATTCCGTGGAATGAACTGAAGCCCTCACTTTGAGCAGCCATTTGTCCTTGGTTTGTCCTTGGTTACAAGGACAACCAGAGGAGTCAAGAGATATCAGAATGTATTTTGTAGTATCCCATGGCCTCCGTCAAAGTTCTTGGATTTATCCTCACTTCTTGACCAGTTCACTACTCAGTTCCATTAATTTGCCTTTTATCTTTTCACACCCTCCCCAATTTGGCCAAAAGTGCTCCCTCAGATGTTTTAGGTGACTTCTGACTTCCCACATTTTGTTGCCTTTTTCCTAGTCTTCATCTTCCTTCACTTCCTGTGTCCTTCCAAGCCTTCTTTACTGGACTGCGATCTTGTGAGAGCAGATAGCCCGGAGGGGGCTGCTGACCTGCAGACCTGCTGCTGTTCTCTTTGTAGCTCTGGGCCACACTTTCTTTGGTTCCTCTTCTTTCTCCCACATTTTAGCATTTTAGATGTTGCCATCTCCATGTTTCTTTGGTCTCCTCCCTTCCTTCCTTCCTTTCTCTCTCTCTCTCTCTCTCTTTCTTTCTCTCTCTCTCAAGATGACTTGCAACCTTGTATCATTATTTCCTGTTTCTTCCACCAATTCCAGCCCAGCATTTCCAGCTGCTGGATTGATACCTCCACTGAGCTAGCTATTCACCAGAACCTTAAAATCAGTACATCTAATATTCCATTTTTATCTTATTACCCCTCTCTCTTTTTCTTCTCTCACTACCGTTTTTCTTCCTGTTAATGTAACTACTGTCTTCTCTATTTTTGCTCATGTGATTCCCTTGGAAATGAATGTTCTTCCCCACTCTCATTCCTGCCCATCCCTAGACCAAACATTACTGCCGCAAAGGTTCTCTTTTAATGCCCCCCCCCCCGAACTTCCATCATACTCAACCTCTTTCTTGCTGGTTCTCTGTGTCCATGGCTTAGACTCTGAAGATAGTCCTTGAGATGTGTCTGAATCGTCTTTCAGAATCCAGTGTGCCTAGCTGTCTGCCTTGCACATTCTACTCTGTCGGTTTGGTTTAATGCATTAATGAAACGTGGCTACCTGCTTGTCTCATAGCAGTAGCTGTGGAGTCCCTGACCTCCTGCGTCCTTAGACAAATAACTTCTCTGCAACGCAGTCTTCTTTATGTTCAGTGGGGATAATAACACCTGCTTGGAAGACCTTTTGTAAAGATTAAATAGGAAGCTGGTAGTTTTGTGAACTGGAAAGTACCCATGAACAGAAGTTTATTTTGGGAGATAGCCTCCAGATTGTTGAAAGTTCATTAGAAACCCTTTGCTTTAACACTGATTTTTTCCTTTGAGGATCTGAGGGTTTTGTGTGTGTGTGTGTGTGTGTGTGTGTGTGTGTGTGCGTGCGTGTGTATGTCTCAAGTCAAACATCATAAGGATTTTGTTGTTGAGTAGTTTTCAACAACAAAAAATTTCTTTTTTTTTTTTAAACTAAAGAACATTTCTTGAGCATCTATATGTCAAATGATTTTATAGAAACTGAGAGATACCAAGATGAATTTGACCTAATTTCTACCCTTGAGGGGCTCTTAGTTTAGCCATGCAGACAAACTTATAAATGGATAATTACGAGATAATCTGGTAGGGACAATTATAGAGACATGTTCAAGAGTGCAAAGGGAAGACAGAGGAAGAAGCAATTAATTTCCATGTATGTGTTGAAGTATCAACGTAAATTTTCTAACATGAGTTTCATAACCCGAGAGAAAGTAGGCATGTTAGTAATTCTAATCTCCAATTACAAATGGGTTCGAGGACAAGTGACTTGTCCAGGGTCACATGCTGAGTCCCTGTCAGAATTGGGTCCAGAATTTGGGTTTTCTTCCTCCTAGTTTTTCTACCTTGGGCATGCTGCGAACCGGAAGTGAAGTTAGGTTGAGTTTTTCAAATTGCCTACTACAGAAATGATAGTTATCTAGCCACCAGTTTATAGACTTTTGAATTAGAAGGGATCACCTACCTCCTTTTGACACATGATGAACCTGAGGTCTTAAGACGCTGCTGTACTTCTGCTAGGACCTTGGCAGGAAAACACAGAGAAGTGAGTTTAAGTTCTGTTTCCACTAAACTCTGTTAGATTTGTGGCAAGCTATATTTTGTCCATCAGACTCAGTTTTCCTTCACTTATAACATGATGAAAAATGAAGAAAAACTGAGGCTAACAGATATTATAAAGTCTCTTCCTTAGTGCCATTTAATGTATTTTAAGTTAAGGCTTAAATAAGCAACTCACTATACAATTAATTAAAAAATCCTACTGTTGATTTCAGTGTTTTAGGCATCGGCATTTTGAAAATTAACTGATGAATTATTCCCTGTCTGAATTCTCAACACTAACTATCCACCTACACACTCAACATCTTCACGCAGATGCCCTGAAAGAACCTCAACCAAGATGTGAACCAAAAGGACTATGTAGGTTTCCCTTTGTGGGGACAACACAGCTCCCATCCGTGTACCCCAAATTCCCATAAATACTTGCTTTCATTTTCTCAAGCCTGAAATTATAACAAGGTGCTATTAGATTGTCAAACAACTCTAAAATGGGTATAATTTTCCTCTTGACAACCATTATCGTAGTCTACATTAACTGCATTTTTTACCCGAATTACTCTCCCAACCACTAAGACATCTTCCTCTCCCCAGTTTTGTGTATTTTAACACATTCTATAAAATGTACCTGTTTTTAAAATGCAAATCTGATTATTTCGCTGGCCTGATTGAAATGGCAAAATTGATCCACATTTCCCTTAGATAAAATGCAAACTCCTTTAATAGTTACACATTGTTACGGACTTGATGTTTGTTCCTTCTGCCTCAAATTCATACATTAAAGCCCTAACTCTCTTTCCCCCAAATAAGTCAAGTCTAGTAGTTCCACAGTAGCTACTGATGATTTATTAGCTTTGTAACAAGGGACAGATGACTGAATTTCTCTGCTTCCCAGCAGAGGAAAACCCTGATGGTCAGGTTTTGAGTTGTTTGACTTCTGCCTGGGAAAATCAAGTCCTTTCTAAGCTCATTGGCCAATTTAAACAATCTTCCTTAGAAGATCAGGAAGAATGAAAACTGTGATAATGTGGTGAGGCCTGAAGATAATATGAAAACTGTGAGCCATGGGGAAAATTTTTATTTTATTGCCCTAGTCTCTGTATAGAGGACTCAGCATGTGACCAATTCTATACAAATGGTATAGAATTGACTTAGATTCTCCAGAGGATTATTGCTTCATAAAAAGACAAAAAAGGAGATCAGGACAGTGCTTGGAATTGTTTTCCAAGGTATTTTTGTTGATCTTTCACCCTTGGCATTGACTTTCATGTGGTCATTATTTTCAGGACTAACTTACAAAGCCTTATTCTCTTTCCCATTGTACCTAATTACAGTGGAAATTAGTAGATGGGAAAGAAGCTCTGGCTGGTGTTGCTCAATGGTTAGTGTTGGCCCTTGACCCGAAGGGTCCCATGTTCAATTTCTGGTCAAGGGCACGTAACTGGGTTGTGGGGTTCATTACCTGGACCTGGTTGTGGCAAGTGTGGGAGACCAATCAATGTGTCTCTCTTACATGTATGTTTCTCCCTCTCTCTCTCCTTCCCTCC